CACTGATCTCCACTTAATGACAGTGTCACTTTCTTATCAAAAAATGATAAAATTTTCAAGAAATTGATAGACAACTAAAAAAAGTGACAATTTTTTTTAAAAAAAGTGACAAACGCTTCAAAAGTGACATAAATTTTTAAAAAAATGAAAATAGCAATTAAAACATTAGAGTCGGTTTAATAAAGTGATGGAAAAAAAAAACCTCCATTTACCATCAAGTATCTTTAAGTTAGTTCACCGACAACACATCAATCAAAATGTCAAGCATCTTTAAGCTAATTCACCTTCACCGTCATTTACCAACTTGGCTAACTCATCGACCTCCACTTAATGAAGATCCCAATAGAAGAACAAGCTAAGTTTTTTTCAATCTCCATTGTTAGAAAAGGTCATCACCTACACCAATAGTTGTAGCCGTCGCTACAAGACGTTTCAACCAACACTTCCGATTGTCGGTCTCTTCTAGAGGTGTCCAAAAGTTCCGAACCGAACTTGAATCGAACCGAATCGAGCTGTTCTTCATAAGTTAAATACTCGAACGGGTACTTGAATCGAGAACCAATGGGTTTGGGTCGGGTCTCGAGTCTAGACGAAGAATCGAATAACCGAATAAGAATCGAAACTAAATAATTTTTTTATTGAATTAATTAAATTATTTTATTGTTTCTAAACAAATTAGTAAAGTAATTAAATAAATCACATTATTTCATAATTTTAATTTTAAAGTCCATTAGCCAATTTTAATTTGCTCATGACTACATAACTATTCGAATTTACTCATTAAATTTAAAGCTTTCAAATGAGATAAAATTAATCTTATTGGACGGCTAGTTATTTATATATTTTTGAATTGGGTTACGTTAATTTGTAAAAGTTACGAATGAAATGTCATTAGTTGTATTTATGTAGTGTTACTGTACATATTTAAAAATTTAATTATGGTACGGAACCGAACCCGAATAGTTCCATAATTATATTTGTACCCGACAGTTCTGTTTATTAAATACTCAAAAGTTTTGGGTCAGTTCGCTTATCTTCAAAATCGAACCGAATCACGGACAGCCCTAGTCTCTTCAACTTCCTCACTAGTATTTTTTGTGAGGATATTTAATTATGCTTTAATTGAGAAATTATTTTTTATGTACGTGTTTTTCTTTTTAGCCTCTTCCACGTACCTCGAAAAACTTAAAGGTAACAAGAAAATAGACAAAAAAAAAATCTAATTTAGAATTCTAAGATATTATTGAATCACAACAAAAATTCTAGTGTCAGATCACAAGGCATAGACTTTTATGAGACTGATTTATTAACAAACCAAAAGAAAAGGCATAACAAATTTGAACTCCATCGAGAAGTGTGGACATCCCAAATTCAAAGTAGACTTTAAACCAGAAATATAAATAAATAAAGCAGCAATTTTGGGTGAAATTGCATACACAACTTCCTATGCCAAATCTGACCTCATTAAATAATTTCTATGTAATTGACTATTGAGCTGCAACAACTTTCTGTAAAAACTTTATCGTGTAGATGGCCGCCACTTTAGTTTGCAAGTTTCTTGCAATAATCTTCATTAACCATTCGCCGAAATCTAGCACAACCTAAGACATTGCAATGAATTATTCAGCAAAAAATCACTCAAAAAGCATATGGTAGTTATATACTTGTTCTTAAAACTAGTAGTGGAGAAGATCATACCCACTTTTGATGGGAAATTCCAGTCTCCAGATATTGAGTTTGGATTTGTCAATCTTAATTTCACCTCTGTTTATCACCTCTGTTTAATTCATGTTAGTTCTCAAAATTCTTGCGAAATACAATTTTGATCATCTAAACACGATGATTTACTAGCAATTAACAATAGCGAGAAATGGCTTTAAATCTAACCAATTAAATAGTGCAGTACCAAAAAAGAAATAGTTGCATTCAGTATCCACCTAATTAATTTTGTTTAAATAGGACCAAACCAGTAAACCTTCAGGCAGGGACCGTTGTTAGCAAACAAACAGATATAAAGAAGTGAAACCTTTATGTAAAATTGGCTTTGACCCATCGTTGGGCAAAGCGCACCGGGTGCGATCAAGGGAATGCCGGACGACATCAGAATTTACAAAACTCGGACCCTGTTGCGCGGACTTCGCAACTTCGATTATTCTGGGATGAAATCCGAACATTGCAAAGTTGTTTGTGGTGGATCGGGGACATGTTTAGAGTCACCTGGGGATGAGCATTCGACCAGTAGTGTCGCATGACCTTGGGCGTTGTCGGATGTGAAGTTTTAGATAGAAATAGGTCGTGCCAGATTGGCATTCTGGCTTCCAATTTCTGATGATTCTTGTTGTTTCATGGCTGATGAATGGTTGGAGGTGATAGATGGGAGTGAGGCAAGGTTTATTCTTTCAATTGGTGGTGGAATGATGGGAGGTGATAGAGGTGAGTGAGACGAGGTTGTTTGTGCTGATTCTTCCAATTTTCAGTTTTCATAAGGTGTTTTTCGTGTTTTAAACATTTTTGAGTTTTTGGTTTGAAAACACTCAAAATGACCGTTTTGAGTTTTATGTACAATTTTTTTTTTTTTTCAAAAATGCGTTTTCGAAAATAGAAAAGAGAATGCGTTTTCAGTGTTTTAGAAAATCAAAAACAGAAAACGACTTGAAACGACAAAGAGAATGGCCCCTTAATTATTTAGGGTATTCGGCCTAATTTAGTTTTATTCACTTCACATATAGTCATTGTTTGAGACCCATTTTTTCCATCAAAATGTATTATTCTATAGTTATTTGACTTCATTTCAACCACACGTTTCAATAAATAATATTATACATTAATTTAATAATTTTATTTATTTTTTAATCACATTCTCCATCATAACACTATTACAAAACGCTTTTTTTTTTTTTTTAATGAGGCTCAAACAACTCCATAAGAAGGGGCAAACGCCCCCCGCACGTGTATCACGCATGGCGCATGCCTCCTTCCACGTGTCAAGTACACATCACCGTGAGGTTGGAACATCCTTGTCCAAAACAATTCTATTATTTAAATCATAGTCAACGATAAATTACAACTCTTATAATTTATCACACTTCTTATTTTGAAGCTATCAAATGGAACTGGTTGAACCCAATTAAATTAAGCTTGAACAAATTAATCTTGACGTGATCAATTCCTGATAGGGCAAAATAATCCATTTCTCATTATGTTCCTCTAAAAATAATATGCAATTTCAATCAAATTGAAAATACTGAAACTGTATAATCAATAATTATATCCTCTGATTTATTATTTTCATGTATAACTCCATTGATCATCTCGAATATTGAAACAAGGTAAATGATCAAAATATCATTTCCTAAATATACATAATCCTTCAATTTCATTTTTTATATGACAGTTTCATGTGATCACATCATTATTTCCATTCAACGACTATGGTTAGATTACTAAACTCGAATTTAACTATCCCCTTGAAAATATCAAGAGGTCATGATCGTGCCCATTAAAAAGGTGACGAATTTCATATCACGAATATATGTCCTTTGTTATTTCGCTTTAATTCTCTAAGGCGCCCATCGGCCCATATATTGACCAACTATTTGATCTCACTAATTGATACTTTAAAGAATTCAAGTTAGTAACCAAAGTTCATTAGATGTTTAGAACTAAGGTCCTACGTATCATAATCAAGTGAAATTCAATTTTGATGGTCAATTTCACAAATTAAATTTCACATGTGGACTTATTCAATCTTATTACAAAAGTCAAATATGAACTTTAATAAATTGAGAGGAGCTTATCAAAATAAAGTAATTGTATTTGTTTATTTACTAATAGTAGCTATTAATTTCAGATTTTATTATTAATTTAATCTATTATGTGTTTAAAAAACTGAAGTACTCAATTTATAATATTAAAAATGATATATATACAAATGCAAGCTCAAATTAATATAATTAATTTATCAAAAAATTAATTAATACTTTATCACAAATACAAAAAATTTACTTAACTTTGACCTTAAAACTCTCATTCAATCCAAGAAATGTATATCATCTCCTTCTTCTCCCAAAATAAGTGATTGCTAAAATCACTCTCTTATAAGAATGTCCTCGCCCCAATCCATCCAAAGAGGGACTACGTGTACAGAAGAAGGGGCCACAGAACCCCTCCAGATAAGACACAGAAAGTGGGGTGGGTTTTTTTTTTGCAATAAAATATTCACATGGGGGGCCCACCCCCCCATATGAGATTTCTGTAAGGCTTCTGTGAAGGCTATTCTGTACACAGGGAAAAAACCATCCATCAAATGAATTAGAGTACAAGACAAAAAAAAAGTGTAACAAAACAACTCACCTCTTATTGGTATAGATTCTCTTATCATAGTAAGTAAAAATTTTGACTTCCATAAAATTTGATTAAATTTAATAAGCAAAAAATATGAGTTCAATAAAATGTGTAGTTAAAAATAAAGTTTGATCAACTTATAATTTCAAAAAAAAAAATGTCAATTAAGAGATTCATCATTACAAAATATTTAATAACTTACTAAACCTGATAGCTTTCCCAAAAGAGTAGTGCTATTTTGCTCTGGCGAGATTATAACATCAATCTATTTGACGTTAATGTGACATTAAATGATATGTAGAATTAAATGAATTATGTATTTCCACCTTTCATTTAGTATATCACATTAGCGCCACTGGGGGTTAAAACCTCAATAAAGTTAAATAGCATTATTCTGCCTGAAAATGAATACTTGAATCCAAATGTATATTTCTAAATTCATTGTCATCTCCTTTACCCCTTGGTTGGATCTCATTTTTCAATTATATATTTTTTCTCCAAACTTATTCACAATCACGGTCTTTTAATAAAATAATATTACACGTAAAATTTAAAAAAATCATACTTCAACTACACATTCTTTAAATATTCACTATTTCAAAATCTATTTTTACTAAGGCCCTGCCTGGGCACAATTAAAAGTGGATTAAAATGCATTTTCTGACCGTTGAAGCCATCAACGGTCCATTTTCCACAATTGCGGCTGGTATGGTTTGTGAGAGAAAGTCAACAAAAACGGTATAATAATCAATTCTATGGAAAAAGGTGAATCCCTCCCAGACGAAGCCTAAATAATGAGGCTCAAACAAGGACTCAATGTCGTTAAAAGGCCAAGATATGGTCCTATACCCATTTGTATAGAGAACAATTCTAGGTGTACAATCATTAGTGGTTGACAACACTTACAACACACTCACATTAGTGTGGGCTTGTATAGATTCTCTTTCCATAGAGATAGAGACAGGATGACGACATAAATATAAGCAAAAAAATCAATTTAAGAAGATTATTATTTTCTAGTTAACAAAAACTATTTTCATTTTAGCATGTTTGATAGTCATTATTTTGAGAAAATATTGATTTTATGAAAAATATGTGATTAAAAAGTAAGTAAAAATTTTTAGTTTATATGAGGACCCACCTCATGTGAGAGGGTGTAAAAATTCCGTGAACTCATTCTTCTGAACGAATGGATTAATTGGAAAAAGAAAAGTTAGCCTAGATAAATAGGACGAAGGAAGTTAGCCTAGATAAATAGGACGGAGGAAATATAAATATGTGATAAAAATAATTACGAGAATTAAAGAATATTGAAATAAAGATCGTTTGGATTAAGGATTTCCCCCTATGTACAGAAGGCAGTCACCATAATATTGCCAGAGAGAAATGCGTGAGACCCACCATGTGATTAAAAAAATAAAAAGTACGCGGGACCATCGAATGTGTGTATTCTGGTGCAATTCTTTCGGTACATCCACCATAGTTCTTGGATTAATTTCAGCTGTCATGTCTTCATTAGCAATTTCTGACTCGTAATGATTCTAGCAAAACGGCATTGTCGGTTCACCCCCACCCCCCAAGATCTTCACAACGACAACACCTGTTCTCCTCTGCAATCTGCATAAAAAAAACAAAAATGGCTCCAACAAATAAAATCAAGCTAATAGTTCTTTCTTCGGTTTCTCCGCCGCCGGGATCAGTCCCTGCAACTTCTCTTCCTCTTACATTCTTGGACTTACCATGGCTTCCATTTCCCCCGGGTCAGCCCCTCTTCTTTTATCATTTTCCCATTTCAACTCTTCAGTTCACCCAAACAGTTCTCCCCAATCTCAGGCACTCTCTTTCCTTTACTCTCCAGTATTTCTTCCCCTTCGCCGGAAAATTGGTGCTGCCACCAGAACCCAACAAGCCCTTTATTGAATACACTGAAGGTGATTCAGTTTCACTAACTGTAGCAGAGTCTGACGGCGACTTCAGTTATCTCTCCGGTGACGGCCAAAGAAAGTTTGAGGATCTACACTGCCTTGTGCCCAAGTTACCAGATGGAGAAAAAGACTCACTTTTGGCTATACAGATTACTGTTTTTCCTGGTTGTGGGATTTGCTTCGGATTCGCATTGCGGCCGGTGGTGGCTGATGGAAGAACATTCGACAATTTCTTGAAGATGTGGGCTTCTCTTACTCGTAAAAATGGAGGTGAAGATTTGCACTGTTCAGCATCAATCCATGATAGGTCTGTGATACATGACCCGAGTGGGCTGGAATCAACTTTCTTGAAAGAATGGTGGAAAATAAAAAAATCAGAAGAAAAGGAATTATTGCACTCCACCTGTTCAAATTTTCATGATATGGTAAGGACCACATTTGTTTTGGGTAGACCAGAGATGGAGAAAATCAAGAAATGGATCTTGTTACACGGGTCCAAACATATGCTGTTGTCTCCCTATGTTCTAACGTGTGCATATGTATGGGTGTGTTGGATGAAAACACATTGGCCCATTGACGAAGACTCGGAGAAAATACATTATTTCGGGTTCATCGCGGGCGGCATAACCCGGATGAATTACCCGGTACCCACGAGTTATGTGGGTAATTGCGTTGCATTTGGTCGATTAGGGGCAATAAGGAAAGATTTAATGGCAGAAAATGGAATTGTCTATGCTGCGAAAGTCATAGGGAATACGATTAAGAAGTTGGATGGGAACGTTTTGGGTGGTGCCAAAAATTGGATTTCCGAATGGAAGATATTATTAGAATCGGAGCTTCATGTTACGATAACGGGATCGCCCAAGTTAAAGTTTTACAGTTTGGATTTTGGATGGGGAAGGCCTGAAAAAATAGAAGTTTCGATTGATGAAATGCGTGCGATATCTCTATGTGAAAGTAGAGATGTGGTTGGTGGCATTGAGATTGGACTCACTCTTCCCAAGTCTAAGATGGATCGTTTTAGTTCCCTATTTATTAAAGGTCTCAATAACCTATTTTAAATAAAGAAGAACGTTTTGGACGTGGTGCAATTTGGTGTAATTGTTCATCAATAAATAAATGTGACAAATTTTTATTTTTTATTGATTTAAAACTGGCTTGTGGTTCCCATGTTGTTATATTTTTATTGTTGCGTATTAATTTATGCAATATTTTGTACATTTTGCTTTCATTATTAGCTACTTGTTTACTAGGGATTATCAAAGTTTTAATTTAAGTTAAATTCAACAATTTTAATCACACATGTTTTATAGGATCTACAATTTTTCAACTAAATATTTTACAAACTTTTATCAAATTTATTAAAAAATTGATTTTAATCTTCACCAAACATGAGCTAAATTGGTAAGGTCGTTGCTAACCTAAATGGGACCAATGGTGGTGGTCGCGAAGGTGGTGGTCTTGCAGGAGATGGTGGTGCCATGCGACGATTTGTTTTGTTGGATCGGCGGGGGATCTGGTGGGATTTGAAGTGTTTTGTGTGGTGACGTCTGTGGTGGCGGATTGGCCGTTGGGGTGGTGGCCGTGCTTTGTTTGGTGGCTGTGGGTGGTGGCGGTGTTTTGAGTGATGGTAGTGACTGAAGTAGTGCCGTGGTATGTGACCAAATATTTGGTTATCTGTGACCAAATATTTAACTGTGACCTAAAAATTTGACAATATGTGATTGAAAAATAATATGTGACCAACAAATTTGAAAATATGTGATCAATGAAATTAACCATTTTTTTATCTATAACCTAAAAATTATATAATCTGTGACCTTAAAAAAATCTGTGACCAATTAATTTGGAAATCTATGACTGTATGATCTATAAATTTTGATATATGACCAACTAATTTTGAAATTTGTGATCAACGAATTAATTGTGACCTATAAAATTTTGAACTATGACCGTAAATTGTAAATCTGTGACCAGAATAG